ACAGTAAATATAGTGCTTAAAAAATAATTAAATGTAATTTAGTTGAAATAAACCAATATAAAAACTAATAAATTATACAAGAATTAAAGAGAAACTATTGTTATTATTATATTTCCTAAAAATTTACTATATTGAATATGTCTATCCAAAATATATAACATGTCATTTAAAACATCTCATTAAATCTTCCCATTTATAAATCTTCCCTTTTATAAAGTAGGTATCATAATTATTTTATATTGATGTTAAAAATCATCTTGTTGAATAAACTTTACTTTTGCTAAATTGAATAGAGCAGGTGTTCCAAGATTTAAGGAGAAAAAAGTTTGTATTAATGTATATAATTATTAAATTTTCCTAACAAACACATATAACTAATATATATGTCCAAAATATATGAGCATCAAATATTTATTACATTTTCTTAACAAATGCACAGTTTTTTAATAATTATGTCATCAAAATAATCATATCAGCATAACGTAAGTCAGATATGAAGTTCCATCTATACAATCGGGCCTCATATTTATTTTAAACTCATGTTTATAACTATTTCAAAATATACTTCACTTACTTGAACCTAATAAATACCCCTCCTAACTGAATCTCATTCCATACAACTATTGATTTAATATTGAGTCTACATGTTCACACATATAGTGTCATTGTATCACCATAAACAATTATTTCATAATTAAACTAGGAAAATTGATATATATTAAATAAATACTGATATAAAATATTATTATGTTGAGTTTCGAATATATAAAGATTTATTTAATGGTAAAGTTGAAAAATAGAATGAAAGAAATTATGAGTTTAATTTTTCTCACTAAAACTTGACTTATTATAAAAATAAAAATCAAAGAGAAATTCATATAACTATTTTAGTTATCCAATAAATGGAAGATATATTAGTTTAAATCGAGAATGAACATTTGAATAGACAGGTGGACAAATATGAAATTGAGATATGTACTTATTTATCTCTATTTTTATATTTAATTTTAAAGAATCAAATATTATTTATACTTTTATTGTATTTATACCTAACCAATGCAATAATTTCCCATAAAAATTGAGACACAGAATAGAAGAAAATTTTGAAATTTCGAAAACAATATCCAGATGTACAATTTTAATTTTTCAATATCATTGTTTTATTATATTTTAAACATAAAAGTATATCTCTTTATTCGGCTGCTTGACTACTTCCTTTCCTTCAAATAATATAAAATATAAAAAGTTAAATGGAAGGTCCGAAGTGGAAGGTGGGATGAATAGCAATTAGCATGGGCCTGTGGTGTTACTCTGTTAGTGGTCCAGTCCAGTCCACTCCGGTCCAATCTATGAAATGAAATTGAGTGATAGGAATCTTCGGGAACAATCCATTTTCCGTTGGATTTAATCAGCTTCCAATCTATTCTCCTTCCTTTCGCCTCTGTTTCTTTCTCATCCTTCCAATACAGATTTAATCCTTTCTGTAAGTTTTCTTTTCACTCTTATCATTGGTTCACATACTCTTGCAAGCTTGCTATTTGCTCAATTAATTCCTCGGAGTTTGTTGTTCATGATCTCCAATGTGTGTAAGTGAATGCGCTGGCTTGAATTGAATGAATTGAAGCGTTCATAATGTGTTCTTGTACGTATAGTCATAGCACAATTGCTCTTCCTCTTCTTTTTTTTCTTCTTCTTTTTTTTCAATAAAACAAGTTATTCAAATTAAAGAGTGCGAAGAATCCTATCGTTGCTTAGTGCATGGCTGCGATCTTTAATTTTGTAGATAAATTTGTGATCGTAAAACATTTTTGAAACCTTGTATAAGAATTGTATGTTAGTAACTGATAAATATAAATTTTCGTTTTCTCCGCTGGCTATATCAGTTGAGTTATCCTTTGCAAAAATTCATTCTTATGTATATGCTTTATCAGAAGTAGTTAATGCGTGTGGCCATATAGATTGGATTCTGCTGCTAATATCAATCTGTGATGTGATGACACCAGTTGCAGTAATCGATTTGCAGATGTGTCTAACACCTTTTATGAACGAGACTCTGTTTGGCCTTTCCTTTGTTTTAAGTTGGTCATATGTGTTTTTTCTCCCGATTTAGTTATTCATAAATCTAAAGCATGTTTCTTTCAATCATTGCAGGTAACGGACGGTAGCTACAGAAAAAAATGCGGGGTTCTGTTGCACTCGTGCTGCCTCCAAAATGCAGGTTCTGGCAAAAGTACTCGATGAAAGGATCACGGGGTATTGTGTAAATTCTATATTTTATATTGTATAGATTGTATTTTTTAATTTCTTGGAAGCTTTTGTTTATTTGTTACCTTTTAAACTGCGCGAGCAGATAAGAAAATTTATTTATCACACACAATTTTATGCTTGAAACAGGATTGTTGACGACTCCAATACCTAAGAAACAAGAGGAGAATGAAGCTAGCAAAATTAGGATAAAGTTGGCTGACCCAATAGTCGCCTATAGCAAGCCTCCACCACTTCCTCCTGTTATTGGACCGTTGGTTGTTCTCTCGTTGCTAGAGAGTACTGATGAAAGAGACAAGTGATGTGATATCTAACCCTCTGGTGCTAGCAGTTCTTAAGACGAAGTATATGCTAAGTAGTGTGATCCTTAATTGAAGAAAGTCTTGGAAATAAAAATCACTAGAGTGATTGCAGAGCTTAGTAATCGAACAAAGAAACTCCATAGCTTTATGTAGCCATCTAGGAGAGGATGAAGCCAGCATGCTATAAATATATTGTAAACTTTCAATATCCATGATAGTATCACATGAGGACTTCTCAAGAACCCTGCAGGAACATGCACTTGTGTATGTTAATTGAAGTTTTTTGGATGGCTAAAAGGATTTGTAAAATACAGGAACGATGACTTACACTCAGCTAGTTTTGGAAAGTTGTCAAATGTCGAAGTCACGTTTTTCAATAGGGTCTGAATTTTTCAAGAGGGACGCCAATTAAACATACCCGAAAAAAAAAGTATCATAGATTATCATATATGAGATGGCTGTGCATAAAGGAAGGTTAAAAAATAAAGTTGCTTTCAGTATCACAGAAAGAAAAAAACTAGGGAAGAAACAATTCACGTTTTGGGGCTTACCAAAACTATGGTTCCTGGTTTGATAGGTGATTCAATTAATACCTCAGTTCTCCTGGATTAACTTTTATTGTGAGCACATGATTTACACAAATAAAAGACCGGAATGAATTGTTTTGCTACGTACCAAATGATCAGGTTCTTTCCCAATTTTGTTAACTTGAAGAAGGTGCAACCTCTTGTGAATGGGATCTGTTTCTCTTTCCATTCTGCCATACCACAAAGATTGTAATCAACCTCTTGATCATTTGTTTATAAAGAGAACACTATAAACTAATGAGAAAATTAATAGATGTACGAAAGAAATATGACCCATATGCCAGTTCGCTGCGGCAGTTAAATCATCTCCCTCGTATATATGTTTCACCCTGAATTTCACATTCCGGCCCATGTATTCAGTAAGCTGTTGTAAGAAGTGCATAACTTCCTGCAATGTTATTTTTAGACTGTGTAGCAGAGCTATTTACACTTTGCAACAAACCATGGCTTAGTTTTGGTAGAAAATATGGTTCTGAAACAAACCTTCTTTCCCTGGAATGGTTTGGTGAAGGCATGGTCTTCAAAGCAAGCATCTTCGGATATGCACTCATCCAATTGTCGCAGATCTTTACCGTTGATGCTTGTGAAGTACTGATAAACAGTTTCTGCTGAAGAAAGAGAATTTTGCTGAGAATTGGGATCTCTTTTTGAAGCCATGGCTAAAATTCTGTTTCTACCCCAATATTTGCCCAGGACATTGTTGTTGATGGTGTGTCGTTTTATCTCTATCTTGTCTGAGAATCTGATGGCCAGTCTCTTTGTGATGTTGGAGTCTATTCCCAGCCAATGGCATGAAGTTCTGGCGGGTAAATTGATCACAGCATTCATTTGTAAATTTTCTTACCCAAATATTACCATTGACGAGCAATGGCAACTCACTGATACTAATATCTTCTTCCTATGTGACTTCCTTGAGGAAAAGAACAAAGAGTTTTCTCTAGCCTTAATCAAAGAATCGTTCCTAGTTTGCTTAGATGCTTCATTTGTTTTGCTGTATCTGACTTGGCATGAAATCCAAGAATATGTTATCTCAGGAACAAAAGTCAAGTACACAAGGAAAGAAAGACAAATTCTATCTGTCTATGTCCTTGTGTCCACCTTAACAGGAGGCAGGCCTGAATCTTCCACGTAATAGACAAGTTAGGTCAACCAAATACCATCCAGTCAACCGTCATAAAAAGCACCAATTGAACACATATCGGACAGAAATTGACAAACCTTCTTTTATTTTTTTTATATCATGGTGCACGGTGGTCGTGTTTGATATCAGAAAAACAAGTTTTATAACCCTGTGACACCGCACCTTCATCATGTGTATATAAATAACATGAAAAATGTTCCATACACACTCAAATAATTAACATACAATCATTTATTAATATTTGCTTGACCTGAATATACATAAATACAGCCAGCTGGTCTTGCAGCTGAATCTGAGACAGCGACAAAGAAGTGCAACATGCTCTTGAATTGATGTCCAAATGTCAACATACGTATCTGACCAAGGAAGAAACAAGCGACTGGTGAAGATACCAAAGATCCTACTGATTTACCCGCACGTGTTCATCGCTCCTACTGGTGAAGGCTGAAAAGAACAATAAACCTATTTCTTTGAAACTACATAATACAGTACACGCTTGTGATGATTTGTTTTTGTTTCATTCAAAATAAAAAAGTATGGATTCGACGCTGAAGTTGTCATGCGTTGAGAGGAAAGGAATCTTATAGAGTAACACAAAATAGCTGGCATGCTTCCTAACTCCCACCAGCGAGACAGTGCTGCTTCACCCTCTTTCCCGATATTAATTTGCATCACTCTTCCACGCTCTCTCGTACCTAACTATATTAAAATATGGATAGAGTTTTTCAGGGTTCTTTTCTATATAAACTCCTTCCTACCTTACATTTCCTCCTACCCAGCTCTTCACATAAACACTATTTGCTACCTTCACTCAAAAGATCAGTTTTTTTAACAGTAAGAGAATGAACAACAGAATGGGTCGTGTTTCAGCTGCTGAATTTGCCAACAGGAACAGGTTGAGAAGCCAAAAGCCACTTCCAAAAAGAGGGCAGATTAAGTCCAAGATAGCAGCCAATGCTTTCAATTCAATCATATCTGTAATTTCCAGAGCATCTTCCTCAGGCTCCAATTCTCCAAGGAAAATCTAGTTGCTTTCATAATCCACTAGTTGTTCACGTTCATTTGTAATTTGTATTCCCTTTTAGGTAGCTTTCCTTCTATCCTTTATATATCGTTCTCTCTTTCTCAGTTAGCAATATCCAGTTTTGAATGTACACTCAATTAGAAAGGAATTTTTGTCAATTTCTAGGCTATGCCGTGCACTTAATCCAATATTTGTTAATTAATAGTTATACCGTCAAGTGCATAATGAATTCTATTCTATGGAATATGAGTACATGGGTTAGTAGCATTTCTCATAAAATTCATATTAACATAAATTTCCTTCATCAAATGAGTAGTATAAATTATAAAGTTTTCCAGTGGGAAACAGAACAGAGACAGAATAAAGTACCACTTCGTAAGGCATTATCATGTTAACTATATAAAATTTATCTACTACGAAAACCACAATTCGTTGGTGAACAAGGCATAGTTTTACGAGATCAGGAGTTAACAAAAAAATTTCAAACACACAAATCAACGAGGCTTTCTGAATTGTTTTAAGGATAATGATATTTTCACAACATTTTTTTGACAACATTTTAATATCATTTACGTGTCATTTTGTGACTGTTCTATGTTGGTGTTTATGATTATTATTATTGATTGTGAAGTAATTTTGGATCAATCACATAATGACACGTAAATGATATTAAAATATTGTAAAAAAAATGTAGTCAAAATATATAAAAAAAAAGAAAATCACAACGTATTAATATTTATACACTAAAAAAATTGTAATGTAGTATGTAAAAATCAATCCGTTGACCAGCTAAAAAAGTGTGGTATCTAGCAATAAGTACATGGTTATTTCTAGTCGAATGAAATCAGCAGAAAATCCCTTTCACTAACTCGAGCATGGTAAGTGGTAAGTAAAAGGTGTTGTATATGTGTAGCAATAGTTGTTGGACAAGCAATAGAAATTGACATTATTGCTTTCCTTTTTCCTTAAAAGGTGCTGACTTCTATTGTGGATGAGAAACTTTGGTTTTATTAAGAAAAGTAACATTGTCAAATAGAAAAGAAGTCTCGTCTTAAATGAAAATTTCAGACAAAAAATGGCAGCACACGGTTCTATTGTTAATATGTTGTTAATGACTGTCACAGAGAACGATAGATTTTTCATGTTTGCGCAAAACTAATATATAAAGATATTCTTGAACATAGCAAATTGATATAAGTTAACAACAATAATCCGTTAGTGTCCAAGAAGAAGATAAACGAAAGAAAAAGACAAACGGGGAGGACTTTACCATTGCCAGTTTTAGATGATAGAGTAGTTGATTTGCTTTGGATAGAAAGTAGTTAAGCACTTAATCCCCAGAAGAGTAAAAACAAAGAGAGGTGAAAATTGCTAATTATAAAAGTAGAAATTTAGACGTTTGTCTAACTCCGATAACGAGTATTTATCTAATGCATTCACTCTCCTTATTTTCATTGCATATATAGCTCACACACAAACCCATCACCTCCATTGACACCTCTGCATGTTTCATCTTCCTAAAAATTAATAAGTGCTACCTCGTAATGTGTGTTCGTAACTGGAGACTAATGTTTTGTTCTATTCAATTCATTTTTGTGTCTAACGGTATTGAAAGGATATATTTTTGTGCAGGAGAGAAGTTGAGTAAATGAAAGAATCGGAGAAAGTAACGTGGGATCAGGGTCGATGTACGGCGCAGGCACGATCCTTAGGCTCACAGAAGCTTATGGTATGGCTAATGCTCTTCGTTTCGCTCATCTACATGCTTTATACTCTGAAGCTAGTCTCAACATCGTCAAGCGCCTGCAACCACGCGCCCTTCATCATCAACCACCTCGCTTCTTCCTCTCTCCCCTACGCAAACGTCACGGAGAAGAGGGAATCCTCCTCCTCTTTGGGTACCGGAACGGGGAAGCGCCGAGACCAGAAAACGGAGCTCCGTCACGTGGTGTTCGGAATTGCGGCGTCGTCGAAGCTGTGGGAGCACAGAAAGAATTACATAAAGATTTGGTACAGGAAGAAGGAGATGAGGGGAGTGGTGTGGCTGGACGATCGCGTGAAGATCGACCCGGAGGAAGGGTTGCCGCCGGTGAAGGTTTCGACGGACACCTCTAATTTCGTCTACACCAACAAGCTGGGTCACCGCTCCGCCATTCGGATCTCCCGCATCGTCACCGAAACGCTGCGTCTGGGGCTCAAGGACGTGCGGTGGTTCGTCATGGGCGATGACGACACTGTTTTCGTGACCGACAACCTGCTGAAGATTCTGAACAAGTACGACCACAACCACATGTACTACATTGGGAGCTTGTCGGAGAGTCACTTGCAGAACATATTCTTCTCCTACGGCATGGCCTACGGCGGAGGGGGCTTCGCCATCAGCTACCCCTTGGCTAAAGCTCTGAGCAAAACTCAAGACCGTTGTATTCAGAGGTACCCTTCTCTGTATGGCTCCGATGATCGAATGCAAGCTTGCATGGCTGAACTCGGTGTTCCACTCACCAAGGAACTCGGTTTTCACCAGGTCTCTATTCCTACCTCTACCCCTACTAATTTATTCTTGCAAAAAATCTAGCT